CTCAGCTTGGTGGGAATTTCGTTGCTTCTGGGTTACAGTGATTTTCTAGCTCTCTAGTCTAATTTATTCTAGCATTCAAGGTTATTAGTTAGCACTCATATCAGTTTTCATCTGTTGTTATATAAGGTTGTTGCCCATATTTGGCATGGAGGTCAAGCATGTATGATTTTTATGTGTTATATATTCATTTATTGAAAAGTATTTACTGTTTCTTGTGATTTGCATACTTTCTCAATCAATGAAAAACTATAAGATTAATATTAAAGCAGTAACCATACACCTTTCAGTCGATTCTTCCACCTAGTATGTCCGAGTTTCAGAGGCTTAGATGTAGGGTTGGTTTCCATGCACTCCAGTTTCGTCCTGAAATTCAGATCCTTGGCCGCCGGATGGTGGAGAGGTATAATTTCCATTTGACTTTCTGCTACAGTTTAACTCAATGGAGCGTGAGTGTATAATATATAGAAGTAATCCATTGCTCAATCAAGATTTATTCAATTCCCTATGCTTCTTATTTTTTGTTAATGTGTCTGCAACTATACGTACACAACTGTTATATGCCCACATTTGATGAATCTGAGCTTTCTAATCTTCCTGCAGGCTACAAGCCTGGGGACAACCTTTCCTAGCATATCATCCTGGTCTTGTAAGGGACACCTTGGCATATCATGGCTGTGCTGAACTTTTCCAGGTAAGCTGTTTATGCCTTTTGCCTCTTGTATCATTCATCTAGCATAAGTTGCATATTTTCTTTATCCCCCCTTTCATTTATTTTCTCTAGTCTATAACAAATTCAACATTTAACATTCTTTCATTCTTTTGAAGAATTTGTAAAATAAACAAAAAAAAAAAAGAAAAATGGAATTCGATCTACATGTTCGTCCAGTTCTATGTGATTTTCTATACTCTATGTTGGAATTTGGTGCTTCTTGTAGGATGTTCATACAGAACTTATACAATACCGAAGGGATCAGATGATCAAGCAAGGGATCATTAATGAAGAACTAAGCGTGGACTCACACTTGCGTAGAGAAAATGGTTCATGTCCTCTCATGCCTGAAGAGGTATGTTACAAACAAAATTCACCATTGCAGAGCAGGGGGTGATAATGTTTTTGCAAGTTTTCTTATGCTTTCTATTTGTTTATTTGTGTATAATTCCTTTGTAGTCCCAACAATTTCCTTGTTGCAAGTTGTGCTGGTTGAAATTTATATATCAAAGTTTATATATCCTAATTGTTGAGTTTTAAAATTTCACCAACCTCTCATTATGGGAGTGGACTACGATAAAGGGTGGATTTGCAAGCATACTGTTATTGTTTCTGAATTCTAATTTGTTTGGGAAGAATGGTGAGTAGCGGAGCGGTCTCTTAAGAAAGCTATCTTACCAGGATCTGATTAGTCAATCTAAGCTATGCAATGCTCATAATGAGGGAAATGGATTCTAAAAGGAAAAATGCTAATTGCTTGTAATTTAAATAATAATGTGCTACTTTATGCTTTATATGCACATGTTGCAACAGTCTAGGAATCACATACATATTCAGTATATTAAAAGTAATGCAAAAAAAGGGGGAGAAATAGAATGTAGACAAAAAGAAAACGGAAAGAGATGGGAAATAGGGGGAGGAAACGAGAGGGCAGAGGGGGGAATAAAGAACAACTTGGAGACACAGAATCTGAGTTGATTCCAATGATCCAGAGCCTCTATAAGATTACGAAACTAAAGTAGTTATGGTTAAAATTCATAAGATAATACCATAATGTGAATTGGAAATTCCAATGTACCCCTATTAAAAATAGGGCCTAATGAGGGCCTTTGGTAGTTCTCCATCAAGAAGACATAAGGATGTTTTACTGACAACAGTATTGGAGTTGCGCTTCACTTATATATGTTTATTCCTGAATTTTTGCAGGTTGGACTTCTCCTTCGGGCAATGGGCTATACTTCTAAAACAATTATATACCTGGCAGGCTCTGAAACTTTTGGCGGTCAACGTCTTCTGATCCCCCTACGTGCTATGTTTGCAAACCTAGTGGATCTCACTTCGTTGTGCAGCAAGACGGAGTTGTTGGAATTGATTGGTCCTGAAGCACCTCTTCCTCCAGATACTTTTCGACTACCTCATCCAAAAAGTGAGGAACAACTTAAAGAAGAGTGGAACAGGGCTGGTCCACGGCCACGGCCCCTTCCTCCACCTCCTGATAGGCCCATATATCAACATGAAAAAGAAGGCTGGTATGGTTGGATTACTGAAAGTGACAAAGAACCAGGCCCTTCACCTATGGATCTCAGGATGAAAGCTCACAGGTTACTTTGGGATGCTCTTGATTATATAGTCTCTGTGGAAGCGGATGCATTCTTTCCTGGTTTTAACAATGATGGTAGTGGATGGCCAGATTTCTCAGGCTTGGTTATAGGACAGAGGTTGTATGAGAGGGCTTCTTCTAGGTCATATCGACCAGACAGGTATGATATGCAGAAAGCTAAATTCATGAATTTTGATATGGTTAAAACAGTATTTCAATTCACCATTGAAACTAAATTTGTCCATTTTACGGTTTATAAAGAAAATGAAAAAGCCCTCCTAAGTTATAACCAAATTACACTATACATCTTTGCAATTTGAAAGATCCACTTACCGCCTTCATATCAACCTTCTTATACTTACCTCCTGAAATGTGTGTATGGAGGGATGTAAAACTTCTGACAATTAATTGATATAATACTTTCGAGACTGTTTTCCTGTAAAAGTCTGAAAATGCTGCCTTTTTTTTTTGTAAGTGCCATTCAACTTGTAAATGGCCTCACTTTAGAATCAACTTCCTGTTTCAGTTTTATTTCGGGTGGTTGGCCTGCCAACAGATGCAAGCTTTCTGTGAATAAAATTACTCTCTTTATATTTATGTCTAACACCATCTATTTTATTTTGTCAAACAGGAAAATTATTGCTGCACTTTTCAGCAGTACCCGTGATGATATGTACCATCCCAAGCGTAATTGGACACTATCAGCTAAGGAGCATCTCAACAGAAGTTTGAGTGAAGATGGCCTCATCAGGCAATCGCTGTTGGCAAAGCCAACCTCATTTCTATCACACCCGCTTCCTGAATGCTCTTGTAGAATTTCATCTGTTGAAATCACAAAACAAACAACAGACAAAGATGGCAGATTCTTGTATGGAGGTGAAGAGGAGTGCCCCAAATGGATGCAGTCAGCTGGGGCTGAAGGGGTTAAATATGATGACACTGAATCAGCAGAAGATGACAATGATGTGGTTGACCAGCTAGAATCCGACGGTGCTGATGTCACAAGTAGCTTAACTTCACAGATTGATAATGATGAAGAATGGGATCCTGATGACTAATCGGATTAACAGATGATACATATTTCTCTTTATATCATCAGCCGGTGGAATTCAGTTTCCAGTAAATTCTTCTCGAGTGAAAAATTTTGGTACACGAGGGTAAACAGCCAAAGCCATTCTTTTGTTTCACGGTTCCCGTCTAATCTTTTGAGATCAATAAGTAGTCAATTTTTTATTCCTGAGTAGAATCAAGCAACTCTCCAGTCACAGAAACCAGAGTTAGTTATATGCTTTATACATCAAAGTTTTCTAACATACAGTGGAAAGATTTGATGCAGTGATGAATTACAGCCTGAGCCATAAAAATGCCTCTTATCTCCTTCAGAGCTGAAGACATTTAGTCATCAGATTGGCTTATAGCATTGGGAGAGAAGCTAAAACTCAGTGCTGTAATATCTTTGAGGTGGTGCAATTTTGCTGCTTGTGCCTCATGAGCTGCCTTTTTTTTTTCCTGTTAAGAAGAGTGTAAATTTGCATAGAGAAAAGGATGTTAAAGGGATAGTTTTGTTATGACAATTCTTTTTACCATGTGATCTTTAGTAAATTTTTTTTGTTTGTTTGGTAATTAAGGGCAAAAGTTGTTAAAAGGGAAGGCTTATGCTTAAAACTTTTGTTTGGTCAGGCATTGTTATCCAGCCAAGCTATGTTGCTTTGATCAATGCCTGAGCAAGTTTACATGGTCTTCTGTTTGTTTTTGCTCAGTATCAAGAATTCTTAAGCAAACAAAGGAATGTTGAAGAACCAGAGGCGAAAATCAATATCATTAGCAGACAAAAAACATACCAAAGACTATAACGGGGCCATTTTCCTTTGCACCACCCAAGCCAAGAGGACCCTTTGCTGATTAAACCAAATAAATTCATAATTTAACATTTCTGACTAAAACTCCATGTTAGATTTACATGACTTACATAGATATATATTTTATTTATAAATTCATAATTTTTTTTCTCAATTAATATTTTGGTGGATAACTTTTATTCTCACGCAAGTTAAACTATTGATTTTGTCTACTGAAATTATTAAAATATTTTAATTTATTTGTTCATATTTAAAAGTAATTTTTTTAATAATTTTATTAAATAAAATTAACAGCTTAATATTTTATGGAAACATAAGTTATTCATAAGATAGTAAATGAAACCATAAACCATAATAAGTTGACGTTTTATACCCTGAACTTGAGAAACCAAGGAGGTTGAGTTGGTTAAAACCTTCAATGTTTTGTCATATATCAGATGACTGTAAAGTGTTCTTTAATGTACCAAAAAACAGAACTAAAAGTGTTCTGTCAAAATACTAATTAGATATATCTAAAATGCCAGCTAAGCCTCGACTGCACAGATTTGTATTGATTAAGCACAAGCATTGTCTTCATCAGCTCTTGTCAAAACCCGAGGCTCTTAAGGACAATTTAAGCTAAGGACTGGGGTTTTTTTTTTTTTTTTTTATCTCTTTTAACTTAAATAATCAAGTTATTGATAAACCAAGTGGTCAACTGTCAAAAGCTCAATCATAACATAGAAGTTAATTTTAAAAGCAAGAAAAAACAGAAACAAACTCTGTTTAATCTTTACCTTACAAATCATAATTACATGTTTAAATGAAACTTTGAATTACATAACCCCTTAAAGCAAAGCTTATAACACAGCACTACTTCTACATGAACACATACACACAATATGAGCTGAACAGCTGCCTTAACTCACATTTTATCCCTTCATTCTTTCCCAGGTCTTCTGATAGATCTTCTGAGCAATGGACTGAAAACCACTCCAAAACTTTAGCATTCTCGAGTTATCTTTAACCGGTACCACATTCTCCTGATCTTCCTCATCAAATCCTTGGGAAAAATGTAGAGATTGTAGATTTGGTGACTTTTGAAGAACATGCATCAGTGCAGCTCCATCACGATTAGAAAGGTTGAAATTTACAATCAAATCGGTCAAGTTGTAAAATGTAGGAAGATGATTAGCTTGGAAATTTCCTGCAAATGAGATGGCCTGACAGAAAATAGAAGAGTTTTGTTATCAGACATGAATGAATAGTTTGCAATATTAAGTAAAAAGATGGTTATTGATATATAGGTATACCTGAAGTGTATCATATGATAGTTCAAGAAATTTGACCCCATATATTCCTTGTAATAATTTAAGCGTGCGATGAGCAGCCTGAACTCGAAGTCGTTGGTCATAAGTCAACCAACCGAAAACATCAACTTCAGCACGAATCACAGAAGATAGGTCACTAGGTATAAGTTCAACTTGCAAAGAACTTGTGTAGCAAAGCTTTAAAAGATTTGGGGTACAAATCTTTATTGAAATATCTGGAGGATTATCGTCGAAGAAAATAATAGATAATGCCAGTAGGGTGGGAATGGAAATCGTGATGTCCGTCTTTTGGCTCCAATCACAGTTATCTAGATATAACTCTTTAAGAGCAGGACAGGAAGAAAGAAGTAACTGAGCAGAATGCTCATCCTGGAATCTAATGTAGTCCAGATATAAGGTCTTAAGCCTTGGCAAGCATATGGAGGTTGGGAAATTATTTAAGGAAACTTGGGTCATATGTAACTTCAAAGAAATCAATAACTCGGAAGTAAAAAGGCCATGAGGAAAGGAAAACAAATTGGGTTCCAAATGATGTGGAATAGACAGGTCAAGGTCTTCAACTTGGTGGTTAACTACTTTAGATACCATGGACATTACAGTTAGTATTTGAGAAAAACGAATGGCACAATCGGAGTGTAGATGAAATTTTCTTATACGTGCAGTGTCAGGAATGAGAAGCTCTCTCTGAACTTTATTCAAGAAACTAGGACGTTCTTGCTGCTTCTCTTTCCATGCGTAGAATTCAAAATTAACAATACTAAACGAAGTCCATAAGTATCGCCATCTTGTGGATAATGCAGAAGTGCTTACTACATCCTTCGTCGGTAGAAAAGATAGAATATGATGAACAAGTTCATCAGGCAATTGACTAATAAGGTCTTTAGTAGAATCATCATGTTGGATTTTGATAGAATGCATGTTCTTTGTTCTCCTGCCTCTACGAAAAAAAAATAGAAAGTTAAAATAATTATTCTTAATAGGATTAAATTAATGGGTAAACTTGTGCTGGAGTAAGAACAAAAAAAAAAACCATTTAATCCGAATTAAAGCAAGAATATCGATCTAAAGCCGAAAACACTAGAAACTGATTCAAAACAAGAACAGCTCCAGCATGATCTTATGCAGTAAAAGAAAGCAAAGAAAAAGAAAAAGAGAGAAAGTTGGGGTACCTTGGGTTAGGGTAGGTCGATAATTCTTCAACAATTAACGACCAAGAGCTTTAGGTTACTGCAGAGGAATATTGTTTGATTTCCCTTTGGTTTTTTGGCTTGGTGAAGAAATCAGGTCGTGTTCGCCCTTTATATAGTTTACTGTCTTCAGCTAAACCAACTCCTTCTAGGAATTCTACAGTTTCCTAATCTCCTATTGCCAAAAATATATTATTAAATAACTATAGAAGGCATTTTATTAAGACCAAAGTGGCTAATTGTACATGGAATATTTTTAGAGCTAAAATTTTTTTAAGGAATTAAATTAAGATTTCTATTTGATATAATGTCAGATATAAATTTTATAAATTATTAGTAAACCTTGTTAATAAATAAATTTAAAAATCGAGAGTTCTAATTAAATAAATATTTATTTTAAAGACTGTGAAGTGGTACTACTTTATAATTCAGTAATAGTGTAAAAATATAGCGAACAACTTTGACACTTAAAAGTTAGAAGATTTGGACTGCAAATTCTTAGTAAATAATCTATGAAGGAAGGTTGTTGAGAGGGAAAGGCAATGGTAATGCCATTGATTTCATTCGAATTAATAGTTTATTTTGGATTAGATTAGTCTTTATAATTAATAATTAATTAATTATTATTTATTAAAATTTTATACTTATGTGATTTTAGTATGATGTTGACGTGAAAAGTGAAAACGACATATAATCATGTCATTTGTTCACATTTCCGTTCAATATGACATATTTTTATTTAATAAAATATGTTGGCATTACGTGACATAAATAATTAATTATAAGAATTTATTAATAAAAAAATAAAAATATAAAAATTTTATTGAATGTTATAAAAAAATAACAATTTATTTAAAATTTTTAAATAATTTTAAAGTTTTTTTAATATTATACTTGAAAAGAGATTTTTATTAAATAAAGAGAAAAAGATTATTTTGATAAAAAAATGTAAGAGTGGTAATTATTTGTACATTGAATGTATTAAAGTAATAAAATTCATGCATGATTTTCTCATAAAAAATATTTATATTGGTGACCAAGTTCATTAAATTTAATTTTTATGTAAAATCCACACCTTAACCATCACAAATTCTTTTGATGTGATCAAAACCATTAAATCTTAGGCATCCAATAATAACAATTATTACATTTTTTTAACAATATTTTCAATTATTAAATATTGATAAATCATCATCTATAAATTTTCATGGTGAAAGTAAGTCTTTTGGCATTCATTTTTTTTCATGCACTTAATTGAATCTAAACAACAAAACTAAAATTAGGTAATTGATATACAAAAGTTTTAATAACAATTGCTTTATTAATATGAAATTTATATTCACATTTTTAATCTTGTGAAGAGAAGGAAAAGGTGAAGGAGGTGTGAAGAAAGAAGAGGAATTCCCATAGCCCAAGCAAGAAAGAGAGTCTTTTACTCTTTTATTTTATTTTGTTTTATTAATTACCATTAAAATAAAAGGAAAAACTTAAGGAAAAAAATTAAAAATGGAAAATAAAAACACAACTTTTGTTCATTATCCAATCTTTTTCTCTCTAAAATCTTTAGTAAAATTATTTTGTTTGGTAATAAAAGGCAAAAGAATATAATTAAATACAGTGTCATTTGCTGGTAGGAAGTTTCAAGAAAGTGAAACAATCATCCAAGGCATGATTTTAATTACTATATTTATATATCAAAAGAATATTAAATTTTCAATCATAACAGTATTCAACCAACACACACAGACGCAAGAAAAGGGGGTTTTGTAGCATAGACTCGAAGTTATTAACAGAAACAGCCGAAAGAAGGATCATTTTCACCGTATTCATATATTTTTATACAAAAACAAATGACACAACAATCTAAGCACCTTTGTTGCTGCTCCAGGGCTTGATCACAGCAACCACGATAATTACAACAATTAGGAGAAGGATGATGATGGCAATGCACATCCACTTCCTCGAGTTCTTCTGTAGTTTCTTTGCCTTTTGGAGGGCAGTATTCCCTGACTGCACGTGATCTACTGCACTCGAGACCTGAAAATTGGAATGATGAGGAAAACTGTTTGATTGCATGGTTTTAAAGGACTAAATCTATACTGCTTGTCAGATATCGAATTGACGTCTTTTCTATTGTTGATTCAATTACCTGAGATTCTATGTTGTCAAGCATGTCTCCTTGCGCATCGACCAGCACCGCCATATCCAAAAATATCTGCATAAGAAACATTTAATTATGTGCTCCAAAATTCTGCCCTCTCGTATAATAGTTATGCAATTTCATTCCTATTGGGTGATCCGGATTTTCATGCATCTGCCCATATTGCACAAATGCACATAAAGGAAATGATTCTTTGTTCAAAACATTTCCAAAAGACACTTGCTCCAAAGCATTCAAAGTTCTGGTGATTAATTGCCCCTAATTCACAACAAATTCAGTATACACACATATGATGCAGACACCAAAATAAAATGAGCACTAATTAAAGTCTGTATGAGTAGTGTGTATGCTTTTCACCACGACATTCCAAAGCAATGAAGCTGAGGAGTAAACTTCAAGTTTTTTTTGGAAGCACAGGTTTAGCCGTAGATTTATATTTTAATCAAATCAGTGCACCTCAATCAAACAAACTGATTAAGTACCTGTTGTAAGTCAAGCAGCTTTCTCTCCAAATCTCTCACTGCTTCATGGCGCTCCTGAATTTCGGAAACAGTGTCCATTATCTGCAAACACATCAAACATTAGATTAGCCATAACCAATTTCTAATCACTTCTCTTCCACCCAATTACAGTCCCACTAAAGTACAACAAGGTTAAGTGTCAATGCAGGCTTAAGAGATGGGATACAAGAGAATGCTGAGAACCGGTCCTCAAGCTTTCAAATGAAAGTTTAATTTTGAAACTCTAAAATTGTTTATATCATATCCTTCCAAGAAACTACAAATCAAAGAAGGTTTAAGGGATCAAAGAAAAATATTAGTTTCCTGAAATTAAGCAAGAGAAGTAAGAAAAAGTTACTAGTTTAGGGGGAGAAGGAAGGAGGAAGTTTAAGACAAACCCGGCCTCGTCCCTGCTCCTGAATTGCTTTCTGGAATATTTGTTCACTATCTCCAGTATCAATCAGCTTTTCAATTGTCTGTACATTGTTGAACAATCAGATACGTGCTAACCAGGATAGAGAATTACTCAATATCAGGAATGAATTAAATCATACCTCTTCATCTGGTCTTGTGCCCGTCACTGAAAATCATAATAATACGTAAAGATAAAAAATTAGCTACATATCATGCAATATTGTAGCTATTAAGTAACAGGTGAGCATCTTAACCTGTAAAAACACGCCTCTCAACAACCTCCCGATACTCCTGATGGATGGTTTCCCTCAGAGTCTGTGATAGTTAACACAAAGAACAGTGTAAGGTTAAGAAGAAAGGAGAGTACTGGCTAAGCAAATAACTACATCCCAAAATATCTATATCTGACCTACCTGAAACTCAGCCATTTTGTCTTTCAACTTCTTTTTAATTGCACTGCAACAAAAGGATGACTGTTACAGAAACAGTTACAAAATATGATAAAATCCCATCAAGCCCATAAACTTAAAAAGGCATTTCAATAAAGGTGGAAACAAAATTGGCCACTTAATTTTAAGATCATTCTTATCCTTTATTTTTTCTTTGGGGGCTGGGATGGGAGGGGTAGTGCTTTGTAATCATTAATATATCGGATGACACAAAACTATGAGTTAAGAGACAATCACTGCTCTTTCCAATACTGCCCTAATTACGAACCAAAGTTACTGACTGGTTTAAACACCACGACCAATGTAATCTATCATAAAACATAGTACAAAAACAAGCTTCCTTAACTTGAAGCCTACATTTGCTCCATATACCCTTGCACGTCAGATATAGAAAAAGCTTTTAGACAATATGCTAACAACACAAGTTTCAATATTACAGAAAGCTTGAACATTGCAACTTTAGCAATGAATACAAATAAAATTTAGTTTTTGGTTTCTTATTTCTAGTTAATTTAACAAAATAAAACAGAAATTAGTTTTTACATTACCACCAGTCATTCACATTGCAAGAAATAAAATAGAACCAATAATTTCTTATGAAGAATCAACAACAAGGTAGCAGCCATGTTAATCCTGTGTTAGATTTTGTCAAACTATAAACTTTTCTCCACAAGAAATATAAAATAAACTGAATTCTGCTAAGCATCTTTCAAATCCATTTTACTAATAATCATAACAGCTTAGATCATATATTAAAAAGGGATATGAAAAAATAAACAAAGGAAGGTAAATTACAGAGTTGTTGCTGTCCTTGACCGGTCTACACCTGTTCCTTTTCCACATCCAGGCTTCTGCCTGTTGGCTAAATTCTGTCCAACATCAAGATAATGAAATGAGCACTCTATGGACAGAAAATAGCCAAAATAAATGCAGTAAGTAGCCTTACCTCTTTGTCCAATTCCTCAATTTTCCCCTTTACAAAACGAGAAATTTTTCCAACTTCATCGACATCTTTCTCCATTCGCTGTTTGATAGCTACAGACGATAATAGCATTCATCATGAGCAGTAAGTTCAAAACAATTTAACCAAAATTCATTTGCTTGAAGAATGAGCTTTTATCACATTCCGAATAGCAAAGTGATGTATAGAAACAATACAAGTACAGGCCTTGTCATGTGTTTGCCTTTTTTTTTTCTGCAGCTTTAT